CGTGTAGTATAGAAATTTGTAATAAGATACATAATGCGGTTATAATAAAATATTGTGCGATTATTTTCATATAATTAAAATTAATATTTATTTATTTTTTAGAGAATACGAGGGAAGCGGCGCTTCCAACGCTTCTAATGACGGCACGCCACTGCTTGTTTATTTATTATTTTTATGATCTTACTCGATACGTTCTAAACTCTGCCTACTAATACGTTGTAATAAGCCATTTTTCGGAAGAGGGAAGATAAAAACATTACCTTTGCAAGGATTGAGCTGGAGAGCCTGTTTCGTCTCGACGTCACAATGAGACCCACTTTTGAAAACAATCTTTCCGGCTAGCTTTTTCGTGTTTGGAATACGCAGACAAATGTTCCCATTCTTTTAAGGGGCAGGCAGCATTTACGGTCTATCAAATTTTGATTTAGGTAATGTTTAAACTCTGTAACCAAGCTACCTGAGTCTCTCTGTGTTTCAGTACCTGTCTGCTTTGCAGCTAGACGGGTGTGGAAGCTCCAGATGTCACTGTTGGCAATCTGTATTACCCTATCTTTTAACTGATGCTCATTCCCTTCATTAGTTGTTCTCGCAATATCTTTTAGGGTCTCATTGATGTGAGATATTGCCCATGAACAAGCTATTGGCGAATCAAAATGCAGCCTTTTAAATCGCGGATCAAGTACATTAGAAATAGCTAGCAAGTAGTTGCTTTCGGCATCCTTAAAATAGTGAGCCAGGGAATTCATCATGGCAACCTGAAAATTTTTCCCTACTGTTTCCAAAGCAGTTCTTGCAACTGTGGCTTTAGTCATACAACTTATCATTGGCAGTACAGAACCGACTAATATATTTTTCACCTGAAGTCTGTTTCGTTAGCTGATCAAATGGTTTCAAATCACATAAGTTGCACAGTCTGGCAATTCGCAAGATAGCGCCACAAATAAACAGCACAGCACAACAACGCTGAACGTTGCTTTCCTTTGTCCCCTCCCAGCCGATTCAGTTTTCACTGATATATCGCATCAAACTCTACGATATATCGGTGATATATCAAAACACGAATATCGCGATATATCAGAAATCACCATGCACGATATATCGATATTCCAATCCTATCACTACTAGAAACAATATGGCAATGGTGATGTTGGTTGCCTGACGCTGTCGATTGTATTTGTTAATACTGTATTGGTTTATAAAAGTGAATGAGATTGTTGAGAGATGGATATATTGTATCGTAAGACAAAATCCTTAATAGATGAATTAAATCGAACCTTTGTTCGGCTAGAAAGATGAGTCCAAATGAATGTAAATCTATAGAAGAAATACAAATCAGGATAGATATGATAACCAGCAATAACGAATAGTTGGAATTGCTAACTAATAAAGAACCACCGAGTAGAAAACAGAATGCTAAATTGCGTGTACATCAACTGAAATACGATTGTCAGCACTATCAAGCAGCATTAAGGAATTTTCAATTGTAACACCTGAATGTCGAACAGCAGCAACGAGATCGAGAAGATTCACTCCAAACGATCAAGCTACTTCCATCATGATCGATCATACCTTACAGCAGTGTTTTTCAACCTGTGGGTCGCGGGTAAAAGAAAAAGACAAGTGTTTGTAGGTCCTACACTACATTAAAAAAACTACAATTTCAGCGAGAATTGCGGCTCACCCCAGAAAATGATAGCGGAAAAAGTGTTGAGCTGATTTGCAAAAGGAAATAAAAACTAGAAAACTAGAAGCTGAAAATTTAGTTCCTAAAATTAAAAAAAAAGGTCAACAGCTCCCTGTGACTAATGTTATAATTACAGGAAGTTTGATACTTTATGTGTTAAGTTATTGTCGATTCTTCTGAAATTTTCATTTTAATCAACAATAATTTGTCTCAACAGAAAGAAAATTAAATACATAGTTTTTAAAATCACTGATATAGTT